AAAAAAAAAAAAAAAAAAATTGTAACGCCAGCCCTTGGAGGTAGATACTATTATTCGTCCCCTATCAAAGGTGAAAAAAACAAGGCTCTTTCCCCAAAGCCTTATAGCTTACAGGTTGCAAGATTTACCCTAGCATAGGTGTCAAAGCATCTGACCCCAGCCCCTTGCCCCCAGCTGTGTGATTAGGGGCCAGTTACTTAACCTCTCTGTGCCTCAGCTTCCCTCCTTAGCAGGAGGAGGCAATATAAACACCTACCTATTGTGTTGTGGTGTGAATTTATCAGAAAGTTATAAATCAATAAGGAAATAACATAATATTTTGAATTCTTTTTTGAAACAGGGTCTCAATACAATAAAATGGAAAAATTAGCCAGGCGTGGTGGCAAATGCCTGTAATCCCAGCTACTCAGGAGGCTGAGGCATGAAAATCGCTTGCACCCAGGAGGCAGAAGTTGCAGTGAGCCGAGATCACACCACTACACTCCAGCCTGGGCAACAGAGTGACACTCTGTCTCAAAAAAATAATAAATAAATAAATAAAATAATCTTTTGAATTGAATACAAAAAAATTATTGATTGGTGGTGGTTGATGAGCTTTTTGGTACCCCCTAAAATTCTAAGCCTGGGGTTATCTCACTCACTTTACCGCAATCCTGGCTCTGCTTCTAAAATTCTGGGACTGCCAAATTTCCTAAGCCAGACACTATGATTCTTACTGTCTCAGAGCCTGGATCTGCGACCTGAGTCAATAGTACGAAGACCAGGAACCCTCTCTGAAGGACAAGGGTTTGTGGGTGCCCCAAGCACTCACCACGACCTTCAGGGACTTCCTGACACCGTCACTGATGAAAAAATGGTAGACGGCAGCCTTGACTTCCACTTCCTGCAGGCCGGTCTTTAGGGGCACGATGACATAAGGAACGGACAGCGAGGACTTGGGGGGGATGGTTACGGTCTGCTGGTGACGCCTCTTGGCGGTGGCCAGGCTGCAGAAGGCTGGATTGTGGAGTAGTTCCACCCTCACCTGCCAGGGAGAGAAAGTATCAGGGCAAGTGTGTGTGCAACAGGCTACCTACCCCCTTGCAGGCTCCATGAAGCCTCTGCCACCCTGGGACCCACCTTGAGCTCTTGGTTCTGCCGGTAATTGTAGAGAACAGCTCGGATTTCCACCTGCTCATTTCGAACAACAGAGTAGGGTAGCCGCAGGTCGATGAAGAAGTCCTGCATTACTGTGACCTCGAAGGGGTCTGCCACACAGATCCCTTCCCGGGCAGAGACAGAACACGGAGTGTTAAGGTTGGGGAGTGGACAAGGCGAGGCTCCTGGATCTTAGCTCTTAGTCCTCACTGCAGGAGCTCTCGCTAACTCAGCCTGTCTTTGCAAAAGCCTATGAACTAAACGCTGTCAATGGTGATAAATGACAGATGATGGTGGTGGTTGGGAGTTACCATATTATTATTATTATTATTATTATTATTATTATTATTATTAGAGACAGAGCAACACTCTGTCGCTAGGATGGAGTGCAGTGGCGCCATCTCGGCTCAACGCACCCTCCGCCTCCTGGGTTCAAGCGACTCTCCTGTCTAAGCCTCTCGAGTAGCTGGGACTACAGGCATGCACCACCATGCCCAGCTAATTTTTATATATTTAGTAGAGATGGGGTTTCACCATGTTGGCCAGTATGGTCTCGATCTCTTGACCTCGTGGTCCACCCGCCTCGGCTTCCCAAGTGCTGAGATTACAGGCATGAGCCACTGCGCCCGGCTGGAGTTACCATTATTTAATGATTTGCATTCTGTTTGTAGTTTGACTCAGAGATCTACACGTAGGAAGAGAAATCTCCAAAATATATCCGCATCTCTGAAATGGCAGCCCCAAGCCGTGGGTGAGAGCTGAGCACTCAAAATGGGGTTTGTTCAAGTGAGAAACTGGATTTGTACTTTTATTTGAATTACTTGTTTTTAAATATATTTAATTTCATTCAGACGTAAACTTTAAACCTGATGATCTAGCTATGTGTGGTGGCTCATGCCTGTAATCACAGCACTTTGGGAGGCTGAAGCGGGAGGATTGCTTGAGCCCAGGAGTTCAAGGCTGCAGTGAGCTATGATCACACCACTGCGCTCCAGCCTGGGCAACAGAGTGAGATCCTGTCTCTGAAACCAAACCCAGTGAAACAAAACAAACAAACAACCAATGCTCATTGTAAATATATGAAACACCACTGAATTGTATATTTTATTATTATTGCTATTTTTTTTTTTTTTGAGACGGGGTCTCGCTCTGTCACCCAGAGTGCGGTAGCGTGATCTTGGCTCCCTACAACCTCCATATCCTGGGTTCAAGCAATTCTCCTGCCTCAGCCTCCTGAGTAGCTGTGATTACAGGCACCCACCACCATGCTCTGCTAATTTTTTGTATTTTCAGTAGAGACAGTGTTCACCATGTTGGCCAGGCTGGTTTCGACCTCCTGACCTCAGGTGATCTGCCTGCCTCGGCCTCCCAAAGTGCTGGGATTACATGTGTGAGCCACCATGCTGGACCTGAATTGTACATTTTAAAAGGGTGACATATAGAATGTGAATTAAATCTTAATTTTATTAAAATGATGATTGATTGAGTGGAAAACATTTAAGCATGTTTGCAACAACTTGGGTATGAGGATCTACCTTTTCTTTTTCTTTCTTTTTTTTGTAGAGATGGGGCTTTGCCATGTTGCCCAGGCTGATCTCGAACTCCTGACCTCAAATGATTTGCCAGCCTCAGCCTCTCAAAGTAATGGGATTACAGCCGTGAGTCATCGCACCTGGCCTGAGAATCTACCTTTTTGAACTGTAAATTTTATGAAACCTAAAATACAGATCAAAGTATTTCCAACGAAAACCTAGCATCCTGGGCTGGGCGCGGTGGCTCACACCTGTAATCCCAGCGCTTCGGGAGGCTGAGGAAGGCAGATCGCTTGAGGCCAGGAGTTTGAGACCAGCCTGACCAACATGGTGACACCCGGTCTCTACTAAAAAAAGGAGACTTAGCATCCTATTTACGCCACTGAACTCCAGCATAGGTGACAGAGCAAGAGCCTGTCTCAGAAAAAGAAGGAAAATCTAGTATCCTAAATGAGATGTACTGAATTGTAAACTACATGCTAGATTTTGAAGACAGTGCAAATAGAAGTAAAATATATCATCAGTAATTTTGATATACTAGTAGATTATTATCAAATCTTAAAAGGTTATGGTCACATTATTAGTGTGATGTGGTTTTGCAACTTTTTACAAAATGTTGAAATGATACTATTTTGGGTATATTTAAATTAAATAGAATGTTTTGTAATAAGTTATGATATGGCATAATTATAAATACGTAATCAATAATAAATGATGTATCATTTATATTATATAACATCTAATAAAATATACATTATATATGTTAATATGTCAATAATAACAAATGATATAGTAGTAAATTATAATTATAGATTATAACAAAATTAAAGTATGATAAATTATGGTTTATTATAATTCATTAAATTATATCAATTAAATTTATTATAAATTATAATACATATATTTTATATATTACACATGTAATATGTATATGTAATATATAATATATATGTAATATGTAGATATGCAATATATTATATGTTATGTTATATAATTATATATTATATTATAATTAAATATGATAAACATATTACAATTAATAAATATATAAATATTGTAATTAAATTGATAAATTATTATAAATTATAATAAACCATATAAATTATGGCTTGGGTATAAATAGAATATTTACACTTAATGTGAATTTTAATATATCTACTTTTTAATGATTCGCTCTTTTTTCTTTCTCTTTATCAATATATATTTCCTCTCTTGTATCCACTCTTTGACTCAATCTTTCTTCAATTACTTAAATGTTCTGGGAAAAATAAACCTTTCAAATATACATAAAACTTGCATGTAGGTGCACATTTTTCCTCTTGGGGCAGACTCCCATATGGCTTGACATAGTGCCGATGTCTACTTAAAATGTGGATTGTTTGTTATCCTGGATTTTATTTTTTTGTTTGCATTCCCTTTGATGTTTAAAAAGTATCATATTGGCCAGGTGCAGTGGCTCATGTCTGTAATCCCAGCATTTCAAGAGGCTGAGGCAGGAGGATCACTAGACCCCAGGAATTGGAGACCAACCTGGGCAACAAAGCAAGACCCCATCTCAAATTAAAATAAATAAATAAATACACACACACACACACACACACACACACTCTGCACTAATTGCTACCAAGTGGCAGTTTGGACAAAGAAAATTTTTTTTAAGAAAATAATATTGCATTAAAATACTATTTTTGGCAGGGTACGTTGGTTCACACCTGTAATCCTAGCACTTTGGGAGGCCAAGGTGGGTGGATTGCCTGAGGTTAGGAGTTTGAGACCAGCCTGGGCAACATGGTGAGACCCCATCTCTACTAAACATACAAAAAATGAGCCAGGTGTGGTAGTGCTCGCCTGTAGTCCCAGCTACTTGGGAGGCTAAGGCAAGAGAATTGGTTGAACCCAGGAGGCAGAGGTTGTAGCAAGGCAAGATGGCGCCACTGCACTCCAGCCTGGGCGACAGAGCGAGACTCCATCTCAAAAACAAAAAAAACGCGGCCGGGTGCGGTGGCTC